CGCGGACTTACGCGTGGGATAACAATGACAAAGAATTGCGGGAGGGAACAAAATTTCGTAAAGTTATTATTTTTATTTCATTATATTCTCATAACGCGTATCTTGACTTTTTGTCAATGAACCCAGCATTGTTATTACCTGTAACTCTCTACGTAGTAAATCCCTATTGCGATATGTTCTATCTATGAATAAACTCAATCCCGAAGTGACAGACGCTCCCATGTGAACGAACTTAATAATCTCGTATAGATTATGGTATATAGGAATTTGATAAAATGCTCCAAGATCCAAGAGGGAGCCTATGATTAGTTTTAAATCATGAAATCTTTAGTGATCTATAATACAGTTTTCAGTGTAGGGTACCTATATCTGCCTATACGCTAGACGAATGAGCGTCTATAATCAGTTCTCGATAACTTTTCTCCAAGTACCAGTATACCTGTATTTAATTTTTACTATGAGTTCCCTTTTAAATTACCCGGAGACATCTTTACAAAATCCAAGCTTCGAACGTTTCATTCCTGTCGTAATTCGACGGGTGGCGATTCACCAAATAGAAAATAAGTAACGATACAAGACATTAAAAAAAAAAAAAATCGATTTCCCGTGGGTAGTTGCACTCCGGCTGTCTGCAGGATTACACGGATTCTCAGGAGTGAGAAAGTGGCTGAGAAAATGCGATAAAAATGTGCGTGCGCCAAACGGACGTATGATCGATATTCGCATCGTTATCCAAAAATGTGGTCAAAAGATTCGCCGCTGTTACGAGGTAGAACGACGAGCGAGTCTCGAGGGGTGGTTTGATATGTCGTGTAGATGTTTTCGTCGAAGCGACCCTTAAAGGTTATGTCCTGGCCAGAGCTGCGTCTCGCAGAATCATAATGACTTCTTTTTCGGATCGGCCATTATGGGGATGGCTTCACGTGTATGAAACACGACTTTATCTCGAATCATATATATTACTTCTGTGCCACTTCTACCCAGCTACGTAACATCGCAGGGTTCAACCAATAAATTCTTTATACATGAAAGGTGCATAGAGCTATATCTATACATGTGGTACGGAACTATACAGTCGTGTAAGAAGATTTTTCACCCTTAAATATTCACCCTGATAAACGTTGCATTCTCCGTCAATAATTTTTGCGAAAATTTATCACGGGAATCAACGAGTACCCATCACCCCTTATCCTCGAGGATATTTACACATCCCTATTTATAGGGAGGCCAATACCTCAGTGATTTATTGTGAGTCGGTAGGAGTCAAAGTGATCGGAAAATCTCATAGGGATTTTCGTATGGATGCACGGTGAAAATCCAGAGCCGTATCTCGTAGCTACCCTTATATTCGATTCGCAGAGTACGATTCCTGGGATTTCTCTGTATTACCGTCTCCACCTTCAGAGACACGCAGTTTCTTTGCGAGACGATGATAGGTAGAGGGGTGTGTATTGTCAAGTTTCAACAGCAGGAATGCCTTTAAACAGCAACACTACTCGTACGTTAGTCTTTTTTACAGATTTTTTTCAAAATACCGGAGAGCAGAACGCGTTCCGCGTCATAAGGGGTGGCTTTTAAAGGACGACTGTGCCGTGTTAATTAGAGCAAAAAATGCCTTGCGTCCGCGACGAGGGGTCGAGGGGGAGAAGCATAGTGGAGCGAAGTGCTGATTAGGGTAGGGGAGGAGAAGGAATGACGTGGCTGTCTAGAAATTAAGGGTGAAAAAGATCGTAAACAAAGGGAACGTGTAATCTTAAGGCGAGTACGCGAAGCTTCGCAGCGACAGAATGGTGAGACATCGAGAAATGACAAGGCGCTCTCTCGTGGCTCGTTTGGGCGACTACGTGTGATCTTTTTTTCTTCTCTCTTTCTCTCTTACCGTCCCTTAGAATTTTCTCATTTTTCCAGGTCAATCTCTTCTGATTCTCATGTACAGGGTGATGCGTATTAATTTTACGTCGATTTCGTGAAAAGAAGGTTTGTATCAAGTAATATATTTTCATTCGCGTATACTATACGCAACGATTGTAATATTCGTATGCTATGGATGAATTATTATTATTTTTATTTTTACTCTACCTGCACTTAATACAGTATCGATACAATGGACGTTTATCGGTGGGATCGTTAATTCGTAAAATGTTGATGAAAAAGGATGAGCGACGCACGTAACGAAAGGGGCGTGATATTGGCAATTAGCAGCTAATGGAATACAAATTAGCAATTATAACATCGCGAGCGTTAAGATCCTCCAGCTTTGCGATCTGGCACATTTACTTTGTCTTCTCGCTGCTGTAACTATTAGCAGTTACCGTTATACGAGCAACGTTGCCACCATTTCGATTTTCTCGTGATACGACCACCCTCTAACGATAGCCCTGATTTATTTGATACTTCACCAAGCGTAACTACGGCCGTGACTCGGTATTGCCGTCGCGCCGTGTGTCGCGTTAAATTTACTTGCTTTACAGAAATTAACTGTCAATTCCAAGTTACGATTGCCAGTCGTTCACGTAGTACTTCGATTAGCCTTATATTTATTTTTTTTTCACTTTAGTACACCTTAGTTATTACATTGTTTTATACTATACTTATTATTGACACGAGAGCTTTTTCTTATCAGTTATCACAGACATGATAAATCCCAGGCACAAGTATAATAATGGTAATGGTAATATCGGATTTTATTGATTTTTCAAACGGGCAGATTAATTTGATCGGGATATTAAACAAAAAAATGAATAAATTAAATAATAAAGTAAATAGATTTTCAATTGGCATTATTCGTACGAGAGTATGTTGAAATACGGTTACACCACAGGGTAATAGCACTGCTTCTTACCGAGGGGATGGAATATATAACAGGGCGGGCAGGAGGAATAAAATGAAAATGAGAGGGTCTTCTTCTTGGGCACCAACCTATAAAACCCTAACGAGATCGTCGGCTCTTCTTCCTACTAGAATTTTGCCCATCTTTGTTCTCTTTCTCTCTCTCTGTTTCTTTATCGTTCACTATATATATATATATATATATATATCTCTCTAGGGAAATTGCGACCGATATTTATTGCCGCGAATATTCACCAAAACGCTTGCAGAGCTTCTCCGCGCAAGTCACCACGTCCTTCCCTGGTATTCAGCCTGAAGCTAACCCCTGAGGCTAATCTCTCTAGGGAAATTGCGACCGATATATAAAACCCTAACGAGATCGTCGGCTCTTCTTCCTACTAGAATTTTGCCCATCTTTGTTCTCTTTCTCTCTCTCTGTTTCTTTATCGTTCACTATATATATATATATATATATATATCTCTCTAGGGAAATTGCGACCGATATTTATTGCCGCGAATATTCACCAAAACGCTTGCAGAGCTTCTCCGCGCAAGTCACCACGTCCTTCCCTGGTATTCAGCCTGAAGCTAACCCCTGAGGCTATGCAACTTCCTATTAAAAGAAAATAACGATCGCTATACCCCTCATTGCAATAAACATATGGATATAATATTGTTACTATGACGTTTATAGCTTTTGATGAAATTGATATTTTAGTTATTATTTTTTACTTTAATTTTTAATTGATTGAAAAAAGAAACAATGAAATTACTCAATTACTTTAGGATTTATGGTTTAGGACGGAAGCTTACGAGGATACAGTATCTACTATAGGATTTTTATATTTATACCTAATGTAATCTTGTTTTTATTTTGCAATCGACATTAAAAGAAATTCTTATTCTCTTTGCTTTGTCGAATTTACAAAGGCCGAACGATCGCGAGGTTCTTGTGAGACATTTTAATTGGCTGAGATCCGGTATCTTGTCGAATGAGGGTAACTGGTATTCGATTTCGTTTAGTTTCCTTTTGTCTTTTCAAGTTCTTAATTACCTTGATATTTCTCAGTCTTTGTCTCGGTAACGAGGTCGAGATCGAATTAAGTTTTACTGTAGGTAATATATGTATATATATATATTTCTATATGTATACATGTGGTTTCGAGTGAGGTAGATATCTATCGATTGGATTCGAAGAATTAAGTTTTTTATGTACTTTATCTTTAACAGTACAACTAAACTTAATCAATAGATTCGGATTTATGCTTTTAGATTTTCATCCAATACGTTTCTCGTCTTATTGTTATACGGCTGTTGTCAAATTTATTTTGGAATTGTTTATCTACTACACTTGATCCACTTAACTCTTTGAGCCATGCATTTTTTAACTTTGGTACTCGGGGGATTTTTGAGGTCACTGATTACGAAGCTGAATTCAAAATCCAACAATTCAAAATTGGAGCCCAATATGGCGGATAAAAATGAAAAATGTTACTTGATTTTTATGAAAAATAATTTGTAATAATGAAACAACGTACGAATGGCAATTCAAGAAATTCTGAAATATACTTTAGGTTGTCCTTTATAAGTATCTAAAACGTCATTTTGATTTTGTCGATAGTTTAATCAGAATTTTTTTTTTTTTTCAATAAAAAACACTTGTTTTGAGGATTTATTTATTTATAATACTGTTACAAATAAATAATAATTACTGCATAGTTTTTTGTCACTTATCTATGTTTTAGAGACGATACAAAAATAAAAAACACGTTATTTATTGTCAGAAATTAATTTAAACATTTCAGTTTGAGCAAAAAAGGTGGGTCACTCAGTGACCGTCTGTGGCGCAAAGGGTTAAACTAGGGTGAATCCCTATGTACTGATACACGTGCAAAGATCCCTTAGTATGTCAGTGGCATACTTCTTAAGGGTTGTTTACGAGCTCATTTTTTGACACTATAAACACTCAGTAACCTACTCAACACATTACTAGTAGTTTATCCATGCATATAACGCGAATACTAAGTGACACATTTACATTGAAAATCATAAGAAGCTGGCCCTTCAAAACAATATACCGCTCATGAGATAAACGAATCGGAAAATAAGTATTTTAAATTTTTAAGAAAGGCATTTCAGTAAAAAATAATAAAAATAATTTTTTTTTACAGTGCGGAGGATTTCCATGCACTGAAAGTGCAAGTCAACGCAAATCGCCAAGGGTGAGTTTTATATTTTCTTTCTTCTTCTCCCCGTCACACTATGCCTCATTTTTCATTCTATTCACGAAATTTATGTTGGGAAACATTTACTCTGGGCAATGTAATAGCTATTTTGACATTGACATTTCGTGGGGCCGGTAAGTGTCGGCTTATAACGAGCTTTAATTCCAAAGACAGTGACACATATTATTTAATCGGTATTTATAGCATACGTAATGTCCACTCATTCATTAAATATGAAATATACAAGTCAAGCACAAGTAGAAAAAAAAAGTATGAAGGACTATTTTAGCTGATAGGATAAGAGACAACCCACGACTGATTCTATTTTTAAATTTAAGGCATGCTCTCCTGATTCGCATGATACTTCGTTTAGTGAGCGACAGCCTTTTTTAATATTATTCTTATTGGGGTACTTTGTACTGATGTATATAAAAGAAAATATTGGCTTACCGAAGGAAATAATGATTGCGCTTTGAACTTGTGTGTATTTTCGTGCCACCCTGACTAAGATAATCAACTTACATCCAATTGATACAATGGTTATCTACTTTACCGATCGATACCAACCGACATCTTGGAAGACGTTGATTTCTTTATTGTATATACGTGACAGTAATTGTATCGCTGTACATAAAATAAACTTCGTCACTTGTAATGAAAAATTTACTGAGGACTAACACGCAATATTATTAGTCAACACGTATATATAATTTGTTCTATTACACCCTTGGAAAGAGCATTGATTTGCGGAAGTGACGTCATTCAATTTTATTCATCATCTACTCTCACGATTGAAAAGACGGTATATGGGTTCTTAGGATACGAAAGTCAATTGTGTATTTAAATGTAATATAACTAGTTAAAGGCAAATTACAATATAACCAAATTTGAGATCAAACAAGACATAGTCAAGATTCAATGAGTAATATGAGGACTTTCTTGAGAATTTAATATTATTATAAGTTTATAACATATACGTTATTCATTCGATTAAAATTGAAAATATATGAATTTGAATATTTAGGAAAAAAGATGTATTTATAAAGTAACATTAATAATTTTTCATTAAATATTTTCTGCTGACCATTATGGGAAGTAAGTTTAATCAAACTCTGGATGAATAACTACGTTTTAACTGTTCTCTTTGCACGCATGGTTATACATATACATATCATTGATTTCATATTTAATAGAAATCTAATGTATAACATATGGCAAGGGGCTATTATTATATTTTAACAAATAAGAACTCACATTATCAGTGTAATCAATTTGTGAAAAAGTCATTATCGAAAAGTAAAAAAAAGTAAATTACAGAATGTCGGTTGATAACGCTTAATAAATTTTTATGTATAACCACGTGAATGGGAGAATTTTACTTTTGACATTAGAGCACAAGCCGATCCCTTTACGACTTAGGAATCGGATCGTCAAAGTAGACCGCAAGTTAATTCGTGGTTCCCCTAAAAGTCCAATAAATTCGATAGTGCTTTCGTATAAAGTTTTCAAGCACGGTATAATGCTTCGATCCTACGTTCAAGTTAATTACTTTTCGAGGTCAAGGGCAACCGTTGCTTATGGTAGTACATGGCTATCTGATATATTACATGCAGGATGATATCAGGACAAGATGTAATCAATTGTTTTATCAGTTAATTATATCGACGCCAATACTTTCTCTTTTCGACCAATTAAACGTAATCGCTTGACATTTAATTTATTTTTAATATTCCTAAAAATAAATTGTAAACAAAATCGTATGCCTTAGACAGTGTTTCAGTTTTCATTAGTATGACAGATATCAAATTTTGGATTCCAAGACCATTCGGTTGTTCCAGTTAGTTCAGCCTATTGTAATCTGTATACTAATATTATGCATTATCAACAATGAAAACAAGGAGTGTAGCTGTGCCTATAGATATACGTTAAACTCGTAAAGCAAAGTTTCATTACAAACAAGTTTATGCTCGCGTGTTTATAATCCAAACAATTTTACTCGTTTCGTAGAAAACATGCGCCTTTATAAACGTAGCCTAACGTCCTATACATCGTCTGTGCAAACGGCCGCTTGGCATTAATAATCGGCTATTGTTTTTACAACGTACGACCTAAACGTGGCACAGTGAGAAGGTACGGAGGATATCATATACATTAAAGCGCGTTAAACCCGTGCTCGAATTTTTTAGCTGTTTGCCATAGGCGGGGAAACCCTTGGAAAATTAAGGGCATCCGGAACTCGTTAAAGAATTATCCTTTGTAAGAAAAAATTACCTCTAAATCTCGTGACCCAGGGATGAATTTTATTCATGTTGGAATTATCAACGAGGTTGAATTTACATGGGTGCCTGTATGAATATATTATTAATTTATTACAAATCAATACTGCGCCGAAAAATAAGCCTACGTTACTTAAGAAAGGAATTTGTTTTTTTTTTAAATTTAAGTAAAGGATTGATCGAGTGTTCAACGAATTCGTTTATTGATACTTTGAGGGTGTTCTTTTTTGTAGTCGTTAGCATCCCCTTAATCTTTCAATCAATCCTCAATAGTTCAGAGTACATTTTGCTATATCTCATAAGGGAGCTAAATTTATATATATATATATATATATATATATAGTTAAGTAAGGGACGATTCGACGGCTTTTATGTGTCCTGGCTAATGTGGGTCGACGGTCGTCATTTCGCTTGTAAAGAAAAGGAAGAGAAACAGGAAGAACGGGGGATTGAGAAAGAACAATTGAGAAACTTGGTCATTTATTCACAGCGTAGACACGCACTTGAAGTTCAGTAGCCATTAAACGTTCTTTGACCCATCAACCCCCCTCGCTCCCCCCTCAGACTAACAGAAGGGGTGGTTCTGGCAAAACAACTGCCACTGAGCTTGCACTCTCCCTTTTCGCAAACTTTCCAGTGACTTCCCTTGCTTCGGTGGGATGCTGTGTCGAGAGAATGCAGCCGTCTTGACGACAAGGGATGATATAGGGATAGAGGGAGGGACGAAAGAAGCGTGGAAAGTAAGAGACGGTCGGGAACAATGACTGCAACCCTAGAGAAAGTAAAAAGGGCTTGGAGCTATTTGTTTTCATGTCCCTCAGTTTTTTGTAGGATCCTGCAAAAATGGCCAAGAACGTCATAGTTGATCTACGTATGGCTTATCGATTTTTCGATAAAGCCAAATGGTTTAGAGTATACTGCTTTTAATTTTTAAAACAGTTTAACTGGTGGGTTTAATTACGACTACTTGCACGGGCCTATACAGAGATAAAATAGGGAACTCAATTTATTTATAGTAGGAATTAAGAAAGGAGCAAACACTTGTACTGGTGTCTTGAATGCCGATATTCGTGCGCTATATATATACGTTGTGAGAATACTCGCAAATATGTACGATTTTCAGTCTGCTACTTGTTATACATCATTCGTATTCATATATACAGATCATAGATATAGGTTGTATATATACGTAACGTAGTACCAAATATAGGTAAGATCGATAGACAAGGCTAATAGACTTTTACCGTAAAATTGCATCAAGAGACGTACGTACTACGAATTTAAGGGATTTGAGCGACTGACTCGTAATTTCGATAGGTATCGCACGCTTAAAAGCCTGGCATTCTAAAAAGGCACTTCGTTTTAGTTTCTGATCAATCTAGACGGCGACCTATCACGAACCAGCCACTTCAGGCTTATAAGGAGCTTTCGTGGCTGGCTTTCGTATTTCTAATACTTTATGTTATAGGGAGCGCGTTTTCCGAGAGTCCACTCGTGCTACTTGTTATCTCGAATCTTTTCTTTTTTTTTTTTTTATTTTGGGATAAAACTCAATGAAGTAACATAACTCATAGTAATAATATATCTATAATCTTTTTTAAAGCGATCCGCCATATTTTTCGTGTAAAACGTTTTACACAGGTTAAAAACTAATGGAGGAATAAATTAATTAACGTAGATTAACACGTAGACCTGACAGTTACAGGCAAACTCCGACCTTAACCCTTTCGCAGGGACGTTCTCTCTCACGCGAGATAGTTCATCATTTTTCCGCGACTGTCAGGAGGTCGCATCGATTTTACTCTAATCTTGTTTTGATCTGAAACATACTTCCGGCCCGGAAGCGAAACGCGAATTATTTACAGAGGTAGATTCATCGTGAATTATCATTCGGTAAGTTCGTACAGTTAACACGACAAGCTGATGGCGCTGGTGTTGTTTTAAAAATAGCAAGTAGAAAGTAACGGAAACCAAAGAGAACAAAGGTAAAAAATATATGACAACTATGCTAAAAGTTTGTACAGCCTATAATCACAGGATTGCTCGTGTTTCTTGAAAAGTTTTAAAATCTTCCATCCCCAGTAGAATTAATCAAGATTCGACGCGGGAAATTTAAAAATACGAGATGCCTGGATTGAATGTACGTATCGGTAACACGTATACGTGCTCCTTTAAGTGACTTCGGTGGGATAAGAGCACAAGGGGGTTGTTAAATAAATCACAGTGGTATAAACGTGATACAATTGTGTTTCCTCGCAAGTAAAATGTCAAACTGATATCAGGTCGTGACAAGGGTAGGATCAAAGGAAATTATCAGCCAGTTAGCCGACGAGACTAAAACATAACTGATGGTTTTAATATAGTACATGCGTGTATAATGTATATGACTTATACACATCCCCGTGCAAAGCGTAGGTGGCAGCTGGCATATATACCAGCTATACCAGCATGCATTTCTAAAAGACGTACACGGTTGAGAAGCAAAGATGACGATAACAATGAAATTCAAGAATACACTGTCTTTTGTCAACGTTCGAGAGTCCGTTCCTCGTTTTATACTTTCCAGTATACCGGAACGAAATAGATATCTATATGCGTACATGTAAATACTTCTGTTACCTTAGAGGCACTGTGTCTACATATATCATATACTTAAACCTATATAATAGACATTAGAGAATGAGATATTTCTCGCGAAATCCTTGCGAGTTCTCCAATTTG